CTCGGAACCGCCGTGCTCGGGATTATTCGGGTCAGCCGACTTGCTCTTCGGTGATATTCTAAAAAGTGAAGCGGGAGTTGCGGGCGACGGCTTCCCGCCCAAGGAGGTAGGTAACACCAAAGGCGCCGTGCCCCCGTTAGTCTGCGGCTGAATATACGGAGATTGCCTGGCGGAACGTGGTAGAGGAAGAGGAGGAGGGGGCATCTCAAGAGCTTCCGGGGATACTGAGGCATTCTCCGATTCCTCCGTCGACACTGCCGAGACTGACTTGGGTTGTGGGGGGTGTTCTGAGCTCTTGGCTGCAGATTCGGCTAATTCGCTAAGAACCTGAGCATTGATTATGGGAGTCGAAGCCGTTTTCCGTCTTTGAGGTTTTGTGATCGGAGACTGTCGGACGTTCGACTTTCTCGCCTTGGTGGCATTGCTTTTGCGTACCTTCTTGGATAAATTTGCCGTGCCGCTTTGCGCTAGAGATGGCTCGATGTCCATTTCGATGGGGGAGTTCGTAGTGTGACCCGAGTGCCTATGGTCAAATGTCGACGCAGAATCATTCTGCGCATGTAGTGCAGGAGAGGTCAATGGGCTGAAGTAGGGCCCCGACTGGGAAAATCCAGGGTCAACTGGGAAGTGAGGCTCAAGGGGCGTTACCGCAGGAGATACTAGCGGGGTGAAGGCCATCTGCTGAACGGTCAGCCAACGATATTCAAGGCTGGGGGGAAGTGACATGCATCTTGTGGGTCCTTTAGATGTTGATGGTATCCATCGAACATGCCCGAAGAGTGCGCTTGGTCTTGCGAGGCGAAGAATTGGGTTGCTGCCTGTATCTCGAGGCTTTGCGGGGTCGGCGGTACCATGTTTCTATGCTGCTGGGCATAGAAAGCGGCTTGCTGCTCCCGAAACTGCCTCTGCTGCTCCTCTAGCTGTCTTCTTTGTTGTTGTAGCCTTTGCTGCTGCAGGAACTGTATCTGCGCATCTATCTCGGAGATGGCATCAGAGGATGTGTGGTGCTGAGGCATCATTTGGGTTGGAATCCCTGGGTGACTCGGAGCAGACGTCATGGGAGACATCTGGCTCTGCGGTCCCATGTCATTTCTCGCAATAATCGTTGGTACATTCGAGTTGCTCATCGGAGTATCAATGGAATCGTCGTGAGGCTGATGCATCATCGAGGCGCCATTGACACCGTTGAAGTCATGGAAATCAAATTGCAGACCGTCTTCCAAATTAGACATGCCTCCCATCTCAAGAAATTGTTGAAAGTCATCTTCGCCGGCCGAAGACATGGGCTGGTCTTGTCCATTCCAAGCGCTTGGGTCCATCATGGCCATGCCTAACAATGGCGGCCGTCAAACCGTCGAAAGATAATTATAGTCGCTGCCGCGATTAGGTTCGCGAGTTCACTGTATTTCGCTACGAGGCTACAACACCCCAAAAATTATGCTAGCCAAACCTATTCTCGAATGATCTTGCGTCGCTGCGACAGTTTTCGTCGATACTGCGATCGCGCAGCGTGAAGCGTTTCGAGGACGTTGGTCAACACATTTCTGAGGAGAAGAACAAAACCCGCGCGAAAGATTCGATGGATTCCGTCAACGGCCCACTAGAAGGCCTCGCAAGCAGGCTATGTAGTCGCAAGCAATATTAGACTGAAGCTAACGACCAAACGTGGGAGGAAAGTTGCGGGATGATTTGTACGGAGCTTCATTTAACCCGACATGTCTGGCGAACAGGAATCAGCCCGGGTTCGATGCCAGATTACTTTTGACTCCCGACGGTGAGCTCCAGGAAAAAAGCGAGGACTAGGTACATACATAGACGAGGAGATGGTGGGGGATGGATTTGGGCAAGTTTATTGGTCGTCGACAATGACAGGATTGCGCCGCGAGCAGGTGACGGTCTCAGCGCCAGGCCGGGGTTACACATGCAGCTAACGCGATATCTGGTCTAGGGCCACTGTAGGGTCCAGAACTTATCCCCGCTCGCTTCCGTAAAGGCTTGATGAACCTCTGTATGTACATAAATAAAAATAAAGTACCTAACCTAGATGCATGTATCTTCTGAGACACAAAGGCTACCTATACATCTTTTAGAAGCATGCAAGTACCTAATTCAAGTTGTCGCCCACCTTCAATCTATTTCACTTACCTTCGTCATATTTCACCATATGTAAGATATCACGAGCTATAAATATGCAAGGGTTGTCTCACCATCCGCTAAGAGTATAGTTGAGCAATGGGCTACCATCATCATGTCAACGTCTTTTATAAGTTTTGATACGATCGGCTTAACTCGGTTAGGTATCAGGTAGCTTCTGGGTCGGTCCTGATTGAAATTCTCAACTCCACTAACTCGGTCGCTTGGTTAGAAGTCCCTAACCTAAGGACGTACGTAAAAGAAACGACTTTTCCCACTTAGTCCCATTCTACTCCGAGGAGTTGGAACGTCGGGGGGGGGGGGGGGTAAAGAGGGTAGCCTTGTAACCCTATAGTCCGTAGCGGATATTTATTTAGATGAAATTCCCAGTACATCTTTCATGTTGGGTGGTAGCAGGTGAAGAGTGGATGCTCTCGTGTGTAGAGTCAGAGTCACTTGAACTCTACCTCTCTCTGTGCATTATCTCATCCGGTGGACTTCAGCTGATGATGTCTTAGAAAAGAGGCTCGTAAACTTCTGCAGTACACCCATTTCATATTAAGGCGGTTGACCATCCAGAATGGGTAGGACGCCGAGAGGTAGTTCGCAAAGCGGGGGATTTGATGGACCGTTTATGTAGTACCTTAGGTACATATGTAAATCCTTGACCGGATTGCTTGAATAGATCAGATCCGAGCTTGTCCTATCTCGCAAGTATTCGAAGCAAGGTTGATGTTACCCATTGCATGCATAGAAGCTCCAGCGTTGATTAATAAATATGCAAGTGATTTGAATAACATCGTAAACAAGGTGGGAAGCAAGAGAACCACGCGCTGATGACCGTAAGCCGCAGACCCAGAGCCCTGGGATTTAAATCGTTCACATGGACATGCTGACCGAGATTCCTATTTAGCAGGTTGATTGAAACCAGGCCTGTTATAAGTCGGGAGTTGGCAACTTTATATGTAATAGCTAATTGACGAAAAGATTTAGGGTATCCCTTTAAATGTACTTCGTACGACATGTCTAGGTTAATACCTTATGCATCTACTGAATTTCTGGTTAGATTTAAGCATATGGGATCGGTCCGAGTGGGGATTTGATATCCTCTAATCGCATTAGCTAGGTACCTAGGTACCTAGGTTACATCTTTTTGTGCTGCAAGTGCTCAAGTAATAGCCGCATCCCATTTTAGGTAGGACCCGGATACCTGCACACAGCACCTTTATAGGTACCTACCTAGGTTAGGTATATACGAAATATTCGGCATATTTCCTCAGCCTCAACTTCGCTAGTGAGACATGGGCACCATGGATTCAATAACGGATAAAGCAGAACAGCTCCGCCGCAAAATATCTCAGACGGAGAAAGAACTTCAAGACTTGCGAAGACAACTAGAAGAACTTGAACCAACCCCTCAGAGTCTAAATACGAATCCTCCAGAATGGAAATGGCCCTTGAGCGAAGAAGAATATTCTCGTTATGGCCGTCAACTTATACTACCTACTGTCGGCATCAAAGGCCAAATACGCTTGAAGTCTGCCGCGGTACTGGTAGTTGGTGCCGGGGGTTTAGGCTGTCCGGCCGCCGCATATCTAGCTGGCGCGGGAGTCGGTACCCTTGGAGTCGTTGACGGTGATACCGTGGAAATATCAAATCTGCATCGTCAGATCGCACACAACACTTTGAGGGTTGGTATGATGAAAGTAGACAGCTTGATCGAATACTGTCGAGCACTTAATCCGGACGTGTCATATGTAGCCCATAGAGAACATCTCACGCCCCAGAATGCCGAGGATATCGCTTCAAAGTACGATCTAGTTCTCGACTGTACAGATCACCCGACATCTCGGTACTTAATTTCTGATATCTGCGTATTATTACAGAAGCCACTCGTCTCCGCATCTGCCTTACGGACAGATGGGCAGTTAATTATCCTAAATAATCCACCAGCAGCTCAGGGTTCCGTGGAAGGTGGTCCATGCTACCGCTGCATCTTCCCCAAGCCACCTCCCGCCGACAGTGTAGTCAGTTGTGGCGAAGGAGGAATTTTGGGTCCGGTTGTGGGCATTATGGGCGTACTACAAGCACTCGAGGCTATTAAACTGGTCGTCGCTGGAGTTGGAAAAGACTTAAGCTCAGCACTAAAAGACCCTGTCGCGCCGAGTTTGCTTTTATTCTCTGCTACCTCGACTACACCATTCCGGTCAATCAGGATGAGGAGTCGAAGGCCTAACTGCTTTGCTTGCTCCTCCGCATCAACATTAACTCTAGGCGAACTAAGAGCTGGTTCGTTGGATTACGTCCAGTTCTGTGGGGTGACCACGCCAGTCGCCGTATTGAAGCCCGAAGAAAGAGTCTCTGCTACAGAGTACAATGATATTCTAACGAGACAGGCCAATATGAATCACATGCTACTAGATGTCCGCGAGAAGGAGCATTTTGACATTGCCAGTATACCAGGCGCGATTAATGTACCCTTCTCAACCTTACAGACTCGCAGTAAAAAATCTACCGACGACGAGAGTTCGGGGCCAGAGTATATCCCAGAATCACTATCGCCTAATGCACCGATATATGTCATCTGCCGAGTGGGTAACGATTCCCAGTTAGTAACACGAAGGCTGAAAGAGATGGGCTTAGATGCGAATGGAGCACGCTTCGTAGGTGATATCGAGGGAGGCATGAAGGCCTGGAAATATCACGTCGACCAAACAATGCCTTTCACGTAACCGCTCAATCTCGACGATGCATATAGTTTAACGACGCCAATATAGGAATGGGGGGTTCCATTTCAAAATCATACCGGTTCCTTCTGTTGATACATTGGAGGGAGAGCCACCGAACGCCGATCCGTTGATGTTTGAAGCTTTTGCTTTTTACCTGAACGTCGAGATATATTCTCTCATTAATGTGATAAGAAACTCGTAATCCTATCATAGTATGTGGACTATGCATTTTCTCCCTTGCATGGGGCCGATCCCCTGAGACCACTTTTCCTCTCAGACGAAGCTTGTTCGCTTCTTGTTGAATGCCCTTTGGTCTTTTAACCATTGTCTGTAACCTGCCACGCTCGAGATCTTCTCGCCGTAGAAATCGGGGACTAGAAAAAACAAAATAATGTCAGCGAACCTAACATCCCCTCCATCCCAACTTAGACTTCGAAGATAAACTTACCGGCGTTACCACTCAACGAGCTGTTGCTAGGATCTACTCGGTTCTTCTTGATGCGCGCAAAGAACTCGGACTCTTTAATTGCCATTGGCTTCTTGACGCCCTTCTTGAAGGTGTAGAACAGCGCAGAGCCCACACTCGGCCCAGCCAGCCAGCCTAGCCCTGCGAAGCTCATAGTCACTATACCCAGCGCAAAAAACGGGTCCATTGGGACCTTGGTCAACAGCCAGTCCATGTCCATATTTACAAGCAGGATAGCACCTGCCGTGCCACCTATTGCCATTGTTAAGATACCGCTGGCGAGCTGGAAGCGGCGCCGCGTTTTGCGCAAGACGAAAAAGGTATTCCAATCGAGAGCTGGAGTAGAAGATTCTGAAGCGACTTCTGCCGCAGAGGCCGTAGTGGAAGCATGGCGACGGGCAACAGCTTGGCACTGTATGCTGCGCGCAGGCTTTCTGGCGGCTGCTCGAGTTGCGATGGAAGGCATCGACTTGGTGCTACGGATGGTGCATTGTCGAGATGCTAGTGAGGAATATTGGCAGGTTGCCCCTCTCGTGAATGCGACCTGCAATTTGAGGGCACGAGTGCCTAAAACACCAAGGCGCGTTGCTGTTGTCGCGGGAGTCAACATTTCAACGGGTGTCAGGTGTCGGGTGTCGTGGCAAAGCTGTTCTTCAACGCTGCATCAAATGCATCAAATGCGTCGGAGTGGAGAGTTTTTGTCGTTACTTCGAGAGCTTGTCGAAGCTAATGTCGAAACTTGACGTCGATTTACGTCCAAAAGATGCCTGCAGGCCTGTAAAGCTCGAGCCACAATTGAGGGGCGCTAGTTACGTAATGCCTGGATCTTCTTGACTGTCTCGTATGATGCATATCGGATAAATGTAAATATCATATTTCTCGATATATGAATCTTGGGTGAGTTCTAAGGTGCCATAAGCTGGCTTTTATATATTAGATACGGCCGGGAATTATTATGATTAATCTAAAGGAGAGTTGTGAAAATAGAAAAAATACTTAAGGAATGACCAGAATCACTACTTGTAAATTTCAAATACCTTAGGCACCTATTCAAAACTTACCTAACATGACTGGCCTTTCTCTAAGCATTTTAGACGCATCTTATGAGCCTCAGGACTTGACACTGAGGAGATAAATGAGAATTTATAACTAATACGAGGTCCCAGGAAGTGATTAATACCTAATGTTAGATCAGAAAAGACAACAGACCTAAATGCTTAAATGCAAAATCCTACGAAAAGGAGATATTCAAAGTTTCAGGAAAAGATGTAGCACGAAATCCCTGTAGTAAACATTAAATCATATATCATATATAAGAAGAGGGGTGGATTAAGTTGATGGTAAGCAAATAGATATGTCTTGATGATTTTTCTGGTTTAGTATTGCCTCAAAGATATACCCAGATACCTACCTAAGTTACTATTATATTGCACCCTACTACTCTGATGGTAAGTATTTGATACAAATGTAGGACTGTGCTAAGGTAAATAAAACGTAAACGTGTTAGAGAAACGTAGTGGGATTTATGAAAGCAAGGGAATTATTAAATACCGTCAACTTTTATGGTTGGCGTACAAAAAGGGGGTGTACTAGTTACAATATTATATAACAAGGCAAGGCAGCGAAGAGTTATTCCTTACTCCCAATCTGAAAATCTCGATGCCTTGATTTACTATACATGAGAAGGAAAAACAAAACGAGTACGCATATAACATGTCGTCAGTTTTTGCATAGTGACATGAATTCAAAGCCGCTCGCCCTGGCGATTTTTGTTTTTCCCACATCGTCAACTAGGGGCTGACTCGATCACCATCTTGCCAACTTCCAGTGTTACTGAGACGACAGAAGGCGCATTGAAGTGCACGTACTAGAACTGTTAATCTTGCAGCCTTGGTAGTGGTTTTTCATCTTACACTTCTTTCTCCAGCACGCACAACTACCACAATACAAGCGTGAACTCCTCACCCACGCGAACTAAATACCACAACAACAGTCACCACATCAATCCCTTCGACATACTCACGTCTCGACAATGTCTTCTATTTTCAAGTCCATCTTCAAGTTCGCCGGCAAGGCCATCGTCTATGGCATCATAGCCATCGGTGTTTGGGAGGCCTTGCTCGGATGCCCTTCAGCCAGGATGATGAACAAACTACTTCGTGACAAAGATGCGTGGGACCCAATGCAAGCCGAAAACGACGGCGTCTGTCAACACGTGCAAATCTGGTTCATGAGCTGGTGGCATTGCTCCGTTCGATCCCCTGCGAAGTACATCACGAAGAGAGTCAAAGTTGCGGCGGCTAAGGCCAAGCGATCCTACATCCGGGGCTGGATGGCCAGAAACCGAAACAACGACACCGACACCAGCATCACCCGCGGTGAGGAGCGGTACGATTCCGACTTTGAAGATATCCGCGTCCAAGAAGCTTATTGATTCGTAGGGTGTCTCGGTTCCATGAAGAGTTGGACGGAGCAATCTATTGCCTCACCACTGAGGCCAACCGTGCCTGTATCAACCAATCTGAGGAAGATGGTGGGGATTGGTATTGGTGAGGTAGTTGACAGGAGCTGGGCAAAAAGTTGCTTTCGATGTTACAATCAAGACTCTTTCATTGTCATGATACGCAATGCCTACAAGGAAGACCGTCATTATCATTTCGAATGATATTGGAAATGGTTCAAGCCAATCTTTTTTTATGCATGAGGTCAATACTTTAGGTAGCTGTCTTATACATCTGAATGGCAGATAGGATACCCTCAGGGGTTTACTTCGGAATACACTGCATACTTCTTTAAGAGACTAGTAATGTTCTTCTGTGAATCAAAAGTAAGAGCATTTGATAATATGGAGTAAATAGGGGGTTAAAAGTACCTAATCTTTTTGCCTTTGATTCTTCCTCGAAGCTTGTTGGTCTTTCACCATTCTCCCACTCCTTTTTAGCAGAAAACAATTATTTCCACCTCCCGATAATTTTTCTATCCATAAGCCTAGTCCCTATGGTTAGTATCTCCGTAGGTTGGTAGATATCACCATAAACTACGATCATAGCAATACTATGACAACCACAGTATAGCACACAGTGCGTATTTAATTATTACTACAGTATAACATACCCCTTTCTCATTCCATTGTCATACGCATATCTCCCTAAGTCAAAGAGAATTAGGAAACTTAGCGCTATGTTATTTAATGCTTATTTCGTCACATTACTTATATATCTATGTCATGGAGCTATTGCTTATATACCCCCCTTCGCCCCCTGTCCTTCTATAACGCCCTGACCTAGGTAGACAGCTAGATGTCCTAATGGCCATATGTTCCATCACCACCAGTGCTATATTTTGATTAGGTCTGCCTATGCACATGGAAAACAAGGGGGGGGACAATCAAGTCAACCCCAACCCTTTAAAGCATTGCTAGGTTCTTGATTGCCCTGGACGACTAAGTCTCGCTGATAGTAGACCCTGTTGCCGTAGTCGTACTGGAGGTCCCAGCAGTAGCAGTAGTAGTAGTGTTAGTAGACGCCTCGTTCTGCTCGGCCTTGAAGACGTTGACCAGTCCCTTGCCGCCACAGAACATCTTGCTATCGCCGGTGCAGGTGGTGTTACAGTAAGTCTGGTTGCTCGCCCACTCGCCGCCCACGTAGCTGCCACACCAGCACTGGTTCCCCTCCTGCACGCCTGCAAAGCCATACGCCTTGAGATAGCATGCGTTCTCGCATTTGGGAATAGACAATGCTGCATCGCCACCCTCGGGGCTCAATTTCTCCTCGAGGATAGGCAGCACGGGGTCCTCGACATAACAGCCCATATCGGTCCAGGAGGTAGGAGAGGGTCCGGGCGTGACTGAAGAGGTGGTGGAGACAGTCGTTGTCGAGGAAGAAGATGAAGTGGTCGTGATTGTGTTGTTGATCTTCTCCATGGTAACGACGCAGTACGACTGATACTCCCATGGCTGGCAGTCGAGACCGACGGAGGGGTTCCATTCATGGAACTCCTCGGGGGCGATCCCAAACAGACTGCGTACGTATTCGCACGGTTCGCCGTCGCTGTTGTTGTACCATTCGATGCAGTCCTTAGTCGTCTCTGGGTCCCATTGAAGCGTCGGGTTGGGGGTACCGCAGACGCGGCGAAACGCCACGAGCAGAAACAAAAGGGAGGCCTTCATAGTAGCGCTGATGCAAATCGAATTACTAGGTAAGCCAGTGAAGAAGAAGGTAAGAGAGGTAGACGACGGGAAGATGAGCGGCAATCCAACAGCTACTGGAGTCGCAAGCAGAGATCACGGCTATAGGTAGGTATTCTCACTTGCTTGCTTCGTATGTTTCCCTCCTTCTTTTCTCTCTTGGCGCCAAGTGCATCTCATATTCCAGCTCATATCGGTGTCAGTTCAATTGTAGTTTAGAGTCTGAGTTAGGACCGAGTCAGCATATTCCTCCTCAATTAGCTCAACGCTAGGGACTATACAGGGAAATACGCCGCATAGATGTAACTAACGACTCCTTTTAATCAATCCTACGTCAAGGACTATATATATTATGCCGCCGTTACACGACAATCTAACTGACAAAGGACTGCCAAGAAGAATTACGCCGTACAGCAACTACTAGTTTACCATCGCAAATCATTCACATCGTACGGATTAGCGAATTGTACAACGTTGGATAGGCACCAGGTATGCCAACGTGCTGACTATTGATAATTCTTGGCGGCTTTTCTCCTTCCGCTTCAAGGCACGGGCCATAGACTACCTAAGCTGTCTACCTGTGTTGAGCCCTGCTCTTAGGCATCAACAATGTTCACCTTTTATCCATTTCCGCGCCTCCCAGCCGAGCTTCGCTTGTGCATCTGGGCCTTGACAGTCGAACCTCGTATCGTGGAGGTCCGCGTCGTGCCTGACAACCCGCTAAAAGTCCAGAGGCTAGTCTCGCCCACGCCGGTGCCGGCAATGCTTCAAACCTGCCAGGAAGCTCGTAACTTGGGCCTGTATAAGCAGGCCTTCTTCGAGGTCCCTGCCACTAAGGCCAAGGCCGCCGCCGGTGAGGAGTCGCGCTACGTCTGGCTAAACTTGGACATCGATATGGTCTCTATCGGGAAAACCTGGTTCAGAAATTTCGCGCCCGTCGCATTATCCATCAAGCGGCTAAGGTTCGAGCGCGAAAACTCGGATGAATGGTTCTACCACTTTGAATCAAAAGAGCTCCGCGACTGGGTAAACACGGAGGAAATCCATGTAGTATGTGGAGATGGGATGGAGGCGTGGCACGGGGCTTCCTACGAGCACCCCTGGCCTTGCGCCCCGGAAAACCTGTGGTTCTTCGATCCAGACGATGGCCGGATGATGAGAAGCTTCGAGATGGAACAGATGCTCGACGAAAGGCTGGCGGAGGTGTTTAGACAAAATGAAGAGGCTGCCGAAGAAGCCTAGGCAGAGGGCAGCAGATATGACTACCTTAGTAGTGCTCGTCTCAGCCAGCTAAGAATTATCTCACGAAGGGAAATCAATCATCGTATTATCTACAATCGTATCGCTGTTCACTGTTTATACTACAACCGCGCTATCTATCCTATTCTTCTTTCTCATGCTCTGCCTCCTCTAACATTCCTACTGTGCGAGACATATGTAACTACTTCTAAATTGCCCACCTTAACGACAAGTCCGGCTCCTGTCCGTCAACCGCTTGTATGACTGTATGACTGCGCGGTGATCCCTTGCCTGTTTGTTTGTCCCGTTGTAGAAGTTCTTGAGAAATCCCCGAATCTCTTTGTCGACATCAGGCACGCCCCTGTCCTTAGCTTGTTTAGCTGTCTCTCTCCAATCTACAGTTTCCCACACTTCGCCAGTAGCAGGATTATTCCCAGTTCCTATTTTCTGTGTTTGTATGTCCATTTTGCCACCTAACTGGGCCTTGGCTTCCCGGACGAGATACGGGCCGTGGTCTCCAGCCCGCGCCTCGCTGACCTTGTTCACAGTCGTGTCGAAACTATCCCAGAAGCCCCGGTTGTCGCTGTTCCCTTTGTTCTTGTACGTATTGTTAACTGTGTCGCCGACACGCTTGATGTAGTCGTTGTACTCCCACGCATCCTTTACGGCTACGTAAGGCGGGAAGTTGGGCACCTTGGGGTTCTTCCCCGGGCTGTTGATGAAGAGCGTGTAACATTGTTTGGCCGTACCCTCGGGGTCCAACTTCCCATCGGAATCGTTGACGGACCAACCGTTTGGAGTAGGGGCCCTGCCTAGGAACACCATGAGTTCGTCAAAGTTGCACCGGGTGCGACCCGAGTTCCTCTTTGGCTTGCAAGCGTTCCACTCAGTGCATGTTTTGTCAACCGTGTTCGCTTTGGCGCACTTGAAGCCGATCGTCTGGTCCCTCTCATCGTTGAGCCCATCAATCTCGTACGCATTGAACAGTAACACGCGCTCAAGGCATCCTTGGTACCCTCCGGCTAAGACTGCGGAGAGGTAAGAAAGAACGAGGACAATAGTAATCTTCATGATTGCTGCTGGTGCACAAGACTCAATAGAGAAAGGAAGAAGTCGAGTCCCAGATGAAGCAAAGAATGGGCGAAGAAAAATGATTGATGAGTTTGCTCCCAATTCCAGGACCGTCCTCCAGGCTCAAATTCATAGCGAAGCTGCATCCGATCGTGCCCTGCTAGAAGTAGAACTGGACCAGTATACGCCATGTTACCGTATAATCTTGATCTCCGGCACGATAGGCAATTCCGTCGATAGTTGCATTGACTATAGGAATGTTGTCAGCCTGGTGCTAATTTCGCCTCTTGGCGACGGTTTAGTCTGCGGCGTAAAATACGCAGGTGCTGAATTAGGATCTTTTATGATGGCCATGATGATAGCGTTTACGTCTATTAGAGCTAGAATTCTGCCTGCCATAAGAGGGATTTGAACCCACTTGTGTTGCGGCACGCAAGCAGGGTCCAACATACATCTAGGCGTTTAACTACTACGCCACGTGGGCATTAGGATCTTTTAGCACGTACCGAGATCCTAGCTTCATTCCCTCGCCGCACTTTTCTTGTCTCGTGACGATTCATTTGCTAAACCCCTGTTGGTGGAGATGAGTGTATCGGAGATGAGATGAATTGTATATTCAAGGAGGCGGAAGCAAACCAGGCAGTGCTAGTAGGATAACATCAACCCATGTCTATGGTAAGGCTATTCTCGCCGGCCTTGTCCTCGATATCTTGAGCTGCTCGAATGCCTGAGATCCGCCGTTAAACGTTCGCTCAGCTCGCCTGTGCTCAGTCACTTCTGTCTTTCTCACCCGTCTTATATTTGCTTCCTCTTGTGCCAGAGAGTCAGAGGCTTTCATCCCCTCAGCGAACCTGCTTGCGCAGTTTCATGTCATCATGAGGGCTTCTTTACTTGTTCCTTGGGCCATGTTGGCTTCCGAGGCTTTTGCATCCTATTCTCATATCGAAATCTCCCGCCGAGACGAGGATGCCGCAGAACTTGAGTCGTGGCTCGCGACGGCCCAGCGAGCATCACTTGATACGCGCAAAAAGTGCCCCGTGTCATGCAGCACAACCAAAGACAGCAGCTCGAGTGCCGAATGGTTCTTGTTCCCAGACGCTGCAGAGTTGGCGTCGTGTAACGAGACGATGCTGCTCAACATGGTGGTCAAGACCACAGCTGAAGATCAAACAACTCCTACGGCTATGAGAGCATGCACAGCTGACTACGGCTCGGGCGTAAAAGCTGCATTCGTCGCAGACGAGAGCAAGGCATCCCTCTGTTCAACGTCTAATCGTGTTCTGGAGGAGGCCTCCATTTACATGCACGAACCACAAGTCGGCAGCAATGCTGCTGAATTCTCTGTCAACCATTTCCTGGCTGCTGGGAATCAGATTTCCCGCCATCTCGCATTGCAGGTACCCTCCTGCGCTCACAACGCAGTCGAATTTGCCTATTCCCAATCAGCAGCCATTGGCGTCTTTGCTGGAGCGGAGATTCATCAACACGGAGTAACGTAAGTACCTCAGGGGTTCGAACTTCTTTAGTCTATAAATCTGTCTTTGGAGCTTCTAGCATATAAACCTATGATGCCCGTTTTGTATAGATGCCGCAATACGAGCGCCTTTAAACTGTCTTTTCTTACCCCTTTCCCCATCCATAGCCTACGTTTGCACCACACGCTCGCTTCCGCAGAGGCCGAATTACTAACCTAGTGCCACAGCACGGATGTTCTCAACAATCTGCTAAAATCCGCAGAGGAGAAGGCCATATCTAAGGCCACCGTCGTCCAGCTGTGCGGTACCGATAGCCGCGGCGCAGACTATAGCTTCGGCATTGTTGCTGCTAGCGTCGCGAATCTCCCATTCATCCAAGAGGCTGTCAAGACATGGGCCGAAGGAGAATGTGTCACTAAGCCGGGCGTGGGAGAGCCTTGGATGTCGGTTACCCTGCGTGTTCCCTCGCCCGTTGAGGTCACGTCAAACAGTAGCAGCAATATGGCGGCATCATCTGGCACTACGCCCGCAAGCCTCGGGGCAAGGTCGCACCTTATCAAGAGGGCCGACTGCAAAACAACCAAAGTCCAATCCGGAGATGGATGTTGGGCTGTGGCCAACAGGTGCGGGATCAGCCAGGCAGACTTGGAGAAGTACAATCGCAAGGACCTCTGCAGCACCCTCATCCTCGACGAGATCGTCTGTTGCAGCAGCGGCACTCTACCTAGCACTCTACCACCGGGCAACTCGGATGGCACGTGCAAGACAAGAACCGTGGTCTACGGCGATAGCTGCGGCTCGCTAGCCTCCAAGTGTGGTATCAGTGCGGCGGACTTCACGAAGGCCAACACTAAAACCGATCTATGCTCAACTTTGGCTGAGGGCCAACAGGTCTGCTGCACAGCCGGGAAGATGCCGGATTTGAAGCCCAAGCCCGATGCCGACGGCAACTGCGCCGTGTACACGACCATAAAGGACGACAACTGCGCCAAGATAGCGGCATCCCGTGACCTGACCGTGAAAGACCTGGAGGACTTCAACAAGAAAACCTGGGGCTGGAATGGCTGCGAGAAGCTCTTGCCCGACTTCAAGATGTGTGTGAGCACGGGAAGCCCACCTATGCCAGCGAACGTTCCTGTGAGTACTTTCTTGCTTACTTCTCGTAGGTGCCTTGTTAAAGTGCCTTGACTAATGAGGATTTCTTAACAGAACGCTATTTGCGGACCAACGGTAAGAAAACGTTCCCCTTCCCACTGCATATAGTCATTGTGACATTACTCGGGCTAACGTGGATACCTATGTAAAGGTGAATGATACAGCACGGCCGCCCGCAGGAACCGACTTGAGCACGCTCAACCCGTGTCCACTTAATGTTTGCTGCAACATCTGGGGCCAGTGTGGTACGACGGATGACTTCTGCGTCGAAAAGAAGTCCGAGACCGGTGCGCCTGGAACCTCGGGAGCAAAGAACGGATGTAAGTTGCGCTGCCTCTAGCTACATTGTTTCGTCGAGAGCCACGCTGTGAGAAAGGCATCGAGCTGACCGTAGGGATCAGGCGTCAGCAACTGCGGCAGAGATATCATCAAAGGATCTGCGCCGGCTGAGAAGATCAAGGTTGCGTACTTTGAGGCTTGGAACCACAACCGCAAGTGCTTGACCATGGATGTCGACCAGATTGACACAGATGCTTACACTCATATTCACTTTGCCTTCGCTGATATCACGCCGAATGACTTCGCAGTTGATATCAGCAAGGTCCAGGAGCAGTTTGACATCTTCAAGGGTATGACAGGCGTCAAGAAGATCATTTCATTCGGTGGCTGGGACTTCAGCACCATGCCCGGGACTTTCAACATCCTTCGCACCGCCGTCCAGCCTGGCAACCGCGACAAGTTCAAGAAAAATCTCATTGGATTTGTCGACGAGCACGATCTCGACGGCATCGACCTCGACTGGGAGTATCCTGGAGTGAGTGACCCGCTCCCCCTTTTGTTCTGATTGGCAGGACTAATGAGTGAACAACGCAGGCCCCTGATATTCCCGACATCCCTAGTGATGATCCTATCAATGGTAAGAACTACTACGAATTCCTGTCCGATCTTAAGAAATCCATCGGCTCTTCCAAATCAGTTTCCTTCGCGGCGCCGGCATCCTATTGGTACCTTAAGGCGTTCCCTATCAAAAACATGGCCAAGGACCTCGATTACATCATCTACATGACGTACGATCTGCATGGCCAGTGGGATTATAACAACAAGTGGACTTCTCCCGGTTGCGAGACCGGCAACTGCCTGAGGTCCCATGTCAACGAGACGGAGACCAAGGACGCCCTCTCTATGATCACCAAAGCTGGCGCCGCCTCGAACAAGGTCGTCGTGGGTGTGGCTAGTTATGGCCGGTCGTTCAAGATGGCCAAGGCGGGTTGCGACTCTGAGGAATGCCTGTTCACGGGGTCACCCCGCGTATCCGACGCCGCGAAAGGGCGTTGTACGGATACGGGGGGCTACATCTCCAATGCCGAAATCGACGAGATCATCCAGAGTGGCAAGGTCAACAAGCAATGGAAGAAGGAAGGCTCCAACATGTTGGTTTACAACGACACCGAGTGGGTAGCCTACATGGACGACGACATGAAGAAGTCGCGGGCTGAGTTCTACGATTCGTACAA